GATGAGGATAGGCGCATAACGGCACATCTCTGGCCCAATCGGGGCCTGGAGATAAAGGAGGGCTACGAGTGCAGCGCTAGAGTGAGGGTAGTGGGCCGGTCTATGTATGTGTTGGAGCCCCTGCCCATCACTAAACCCTCTAGTGAGGCACTGGTCTTCTTGCACGGCTACAACTGTCCGACGGAGTATGCTCTACTGCGTCTGGGCCAAATGTTGGCGCTGGGGAGGTTCCCTTCTCACATTCATCCCTTTGTATTCTCTCAAGCTACTGGGCAGACATTTTCGTATACTAAGGCGAAGCGGTGTATTGGACATTTCAAGACGGACCTTCTGGACTTCTTATTAGACCTGAGGAGGAGGGGATACGATCAGGTCCACCTCCTGGTGCACAGTATGGCGGCCCATCTGTTCTTCGCAATGCTACAGGAGTACGAGGATCGACGGTTCGCCGATCCTGAGGGTGTGGACGTCTTAAGACTCTCTAATGTAGTCCTCATTAACGCTGACTTCCCTGTGAGAGGCTTTGAAGAGGTGCATGTGCCTCGGGTATTGGAAGTTGCCGATCGAATGACGATGTATTGCGATGATAGGGACTTTGCTTTGCTCTGTTCGGAGCTCTTCTCGAGAAACAAAGTGATAGGGAGGAAGATCTGGCCAGTTAGCGCGCGCCCGGCTGGAGGATTACCATATGGTCGTAGTCGTATTGACGTGATGGACTGCCGACATATGCAGCAGAATGTTCACTCGATACGCCATAACTACTTCAATTTAAATGTACAGATTGTGAGCGACATCGCGGAGTTGGTCACGAACCATTGCGGGGCTGACCAGAGGCTTACGAGGACGGTGCGACAAGTTGCTGGCGAGAACGTCTTTAGTTTTCTCTGCCCTCCGAAATACGTAAAAAACGAGTAGAAAATTAGCTGGAATCAGCCTGGCACTGTGCTTGCTTTTGTGACCTATATTCTGTTCATCGACTCTCGAAGGTATCATCGTCATGTTGTTTTAAGTGCAGTATTATTACCCCGTATCTCAGCGGCAAGTAAGCTGTACCTGTTGGGTTCTCGTGGGGAGAGGCTGATGCTGAGTTCTTGGCAGTGTTAGATGTGGCCTTGCTTCCTGCGAGAAGTTGCTGCTGATGTACGAGGGTTCGCCAATCAACTACATAGGGATGTTTATGGCGATTTGGAAACACCCTCAACGGGGTTGAGTGACGCTGAGGAGTTGACAGACGCTGAAGAGGCTGAGGAGGCTGATGCCTGCTTTTGGGAAGGGGTGTAATAAGGCTGAGTTGAACTTGTGGTTATTCCTATGCAGTCCCTTTGGTGCGCTTACGAGTGTCGATGTGTTGACCTGTCCCTCTGGGGCCAAGTCCCGATATGGTCGGCACAGGTGTATTGAACACGATGATTGTTGCTCAACGTATGGAGTCACCCCTGGCTGTCACCACTGACTGTGTTATAGGTCTCTCACATCGTCACTCATAGACGCTGTAGTCCAGACAGAGGGGGGATACGTAGAGGAGCTGCAGGAGACGGTGGCCGCCTTAGAGGTGGTCCTTTAATGGGAGCTTTACTGAGGCTAGCCTCGTCAGCTCTCAGGCACAGATCGATGAACTGAGACGAATGCTGGTCTGTGATACTGTCCCCCTGCCCTCCATGAACCCTCCAAATGCCCTACCTTTGTCCAACTCTGTCCAGGAGCCTCGCCGAGGGGAAGAGGAAAGGACGGCCACATCACGTGCCTCAAGTGTAGTAGTGGGGAGTCCTCGTGCTGGGAAAGGCTTCTTTTTGGCAGCTAGATGCAGTGTAGGAAAATCTGCATATGGTCAGCCACCTGCGTTTGTGATGATATGAAAATTCTTATTGGTTTCTGTACATTCGTAGCCGAATTCGTGTGTAAATTCTCATAACGTAGTTTGCAAATATCTGAGCTCAGCTGAGGAAAACGAGCATATACTCCAACACTGACTACAGGCTTACTGCGTTTAGATACAATGCACTAGTATTCCAACAACCGAAAGCTTTATCATATACTCGTCGGAGGACTTGGACGGATTTTCGGACCTCAGCGGTTCATGATGAATATTCACCTGGCACTCCGGTGGCGATTGGTTACTGCTATAGTGTGGCTCTTTCTAGAGGAGCAACTTTGACTTGCTTGATTTTACTATAAACTAATATAACTCAGCAGTTGAGACTTTTTGGGGTTTACTGTTGGGTTAGATGGGTGGTGGAAAGGGTGCTGAAGTAGTTTTAGGTAGTGTCACCATGTCTGTCGCTGCTACTCTACGGGAGAGGCCCTCAGGGGCAGCAGCAGCAATGGGTTCGTCCAAGGTGCTGAGCAAGCAGGCTCTTCGGAGGAAGTACAGGGAGATACGGGGAGCAATCGATCAGACGATCGATTTGATACCGGCCCATCAGTATCTCCAGACGGTCACCTTTGGGGACACGCCCTTGACAATACAGGAGGCGGGTGGGCATGGACGGCAGTTGGACCCTCGGAATGTGAAGGGCACGACTAGGGTGTTGGAGGAAGTACTTAGTAAACGGAAAGTTGAGCAAGAGAGGGCTTCTGGTGTGAAGAAAAATATCAAAAAGAAGAAGGCTAGTAATAGGAGGGGGTCGCGTTATCGTCGTGGACTAGCCTGGGAGTTTAATCAGAAGCTTCGCTTCGGTCCGTTGTCTGGTTTTACGATGAATATTTAGTAATATGTCTTGATCTATCGGTATGTGCATATATTATTAAGCCTCTGTGTGAAATACTATTACACCACTACACTATGCAATGTTCATTGTGTGTAGAATTCATA